CACACACACACACACACAGCGAAACTGTGTAACTAGCTTATTGACTACTGCTGTCAACTGTATGTACTTAACAGGAGACCAGGAACTACAGCTGTAACTATGGAAACAACGAGTAGTTTAGATCCCGAGCCATCAATTGTAGTACTACTGTATATTTGTATGTATAGATGGTATTTTTCCCATGAAAACACAGTACTATAACCAAATATTTTCTATTTTCTTGTTTTTAATTTAAGTTTTATTCTGAAAGATTCTGTTAGTCAAGAAATCAGGTGATGCAAACAAGGTAACAAATCATATTTAAAAGGAAATACATGAAATAAAACGTATAAAAGGGTTGTTCTGTTTAAATGGGATTAGTTGATAGGGTTGTTAGGCAAAAATATATATTAAAAAAAGCTCAAGTTTACCCTAGGGGCTATAACCTTAAGGTTTACTCTCTTCGGTGTCCACACATCTGCAGAAATATAAAGGTCTTCATTGTAGATTCAAGTACGGTGGGGGAAAAAAAGAAACCCACAGATAATAGACAGAAAACAGCACTTTGCTTTAGATGCTTCAGATAACTCTGGTGTCGCTGTGTAAGAAGCAAGCCTGTCTTTGTCTCTTTTCTATACTGATGTTGTAACATACTGTATGACCAATAGAAAGTAACAGCACATATTAACAATGTTGTCACACTAACATTCTCAAGGAAGCTAACTCTGATCTCATTATCACTTACCATCACAGTGGACAGGCTTAAATATGAATTCATCAGCATATTTTAACATGTGATAAAAACCACATCATGCACACAAATAAAAGTTGAAGCTGTTGTCTTTGACTCAGTCTCTAGAGGCATCCATTTTTTTTTTAAAGCAATGCTATCAGATTTCAAACTCTAATATATCAAATATTTTAGCTTTTAAATAAGAAGTGTAAGCCTCTTTGTTTGCAATCTCTCTTCCAGTTGGCTTGCAAGAGCAAAGAGGGATTACACACTGTAGACATAAAATAATCTTTTGAATAAAGAGTCATATAAAATGATTATAAACAAGAGAAAATAATTACACTCAGTATGCAATTTTAATCAATTTAAGAGCCTTCTCTCTGAGACTGGGCACTGCTTTAGTCTGCTAACTCTGATGTCTCATATGATTAAAAGACATGAATGAGACTTGAAATCATTGCTTTTGTAATGTAACATTTTGTTCCATCAGTCAGTGTTAAATACAGTTTAACAAGTACATTTTACTAGCTTTACTCTTACCTGGCACCTGCCACAGGTGACTTCCTCCCAGGGTCAAGTGATGCTCCCAGTGGTTCCTCCCCCAATGACCTAGTGTCTTTATTTAGCTGCTGTAGTCGGGAACTGAGCTCCCCCATAACAGATGGTTTTGCTCCCTCATCTGCACCCAGCCCCAGTCCCAGCCCACCCAGATTGCCCAAACTCCCAATACCTAGCCCCACCCCTGGCCCACGAGGCTCCACTGGGTCCCCCCACAGCTTGGACCTCCGCTGGAAGAGGTAGCGTGGCTTGGTGGGGGCTAGTCCAGTCACTGAGGCTGAACCACCTGAGGGCAGCCCAGCACCTCCAGCTGCAGCAGCAGCCAGGGCAGCAGCCTGTTGCTGTGATAGCAGCTCGCTGTCAGAACTCTGCTTCAGCAGAGGGTCCCTGAAGGTGACGGGGCCTTTACTGCCTCCTATCTGGGACTTGAGTCTGGGCTTAGGAGGCACTGGCGGCTTGTCGAGCACAAAAGTCTGCCCGTCGGCATAGGAGGTGTGCGTGGTGTGTGTGTCGGCAGGCTCGCCGCTTTCTGAGGACAATGTGGACATGCTGGAAACCGTGGAGACGGTGCTGGTGGTCTCGAGATGGTGGTCTCGCTCTCTCTCGCTGGAGCTGCGCGTGTCAGCCTCCTCCACGCCTGAGTCAGCCGCAGAGCCAGACTCGCCCACTGGTGGGGGCTCAAGAGGATCAGAGGGCTTCCCTGAGACAGCAGCTGCACTGGGTGGAGGTGGGGGCTGGGGAGACTGAGCCTGCATGGGGGTCACAGTTGGGGTTGTTGGGGTTGAGAGAGTGTGGGGTGTTGGTGTTGTAGGGGTGCTGGGAGAGGAGGCAGGTTTAGTTGGGGACACTGGTGTCCCCTGTGTCTGTGCAAGAAGCCCATTAGCAAACTCATCTGGTGGTGGAACAACTCCAATCTTGCGTAGCTCCTCCCTTGTTTCCTCATCACTGGAGGACAATATTGCAGGGGGCAGAGTCACTGTGTATGGATCCACATCCTCCTCTGAGCTTCCCTGAGCCAGACTCTTCTCTTGGGCTGGACTGGCAGGACGCTGAGTTTGAGGCTGGGCCTGGGGCTGGGAGACTGTGGGACTGGGGGATTTAGCCCGTGGACTTAGAGATTTGCTGGGCTCCGTGGTTGTTGGGGCAGGTGCCTGTTCTAGTTCTGAACCCACCCCAACAGCCTGGCCGTTACTCGTAGCATGGACCATGATTAGCCCTGCTGTCTTCTGCTGTGACGTATCCATAATACTGATCAACATACTTTTTTTATCTTCTAGTCTCTTTTCCTCCTTCCTCTCCTCTACTCTGGCCTCCATCTCCTGCCGGAATGATACAGGTGATGGTGATGTGGCCCACTGTTGTTTGGTGGGCTGATTAACTAAAATTGATGCCAGGGAGGATCCAACTACATGCCCCACTGCCTTGGCGCTTTTAGGCGAGAAAGGGGGAGATGTGGGTGCCCCTTCCCCATGTGGAGACTCTTTGGTCTGAGGGTCAATGAAAATTACGCCCTGGCCTATCCGCTCTTGTTTAGTCCTAGGCTCTGGGCTGCTAGTTGGGGACTGGCTCTGGGAGGTCAGTGCCCTCTCCCTTGCGGCCAGCGCAAGAGCCAGTGGAGAGTTGGGGTCCAGGGGTTTTCCTGTGAGCGGATGGATAAAGGTGGTCCCACTAGGTGAGGGGCTCAGTGCCAAGGCAGGGGGAGGCAGCTGTCCCAGTTCTCGGGTGAGCATCCGTTCATCGATGGAGTGAGACTGAGTCAGAGAGGGGGCGTCAGAGCTTGTGGTAGACGCCCCCTCCATGGTCCCAACAGACAGGAAGACAGTGGATTTCCTCCGTTCTTCTAGGCGACGCTCACGATCTTTCACTGCTCCAGCAATTGCAGCAGCAAAGGGGCCCTTACCCTGAAGCATCATCTCTCCCTGGGCACGCATACGCTCTCGCTCAGCCATCAGCTGCTGCTGGTAGTAGTCTGCACGGCTGGTGTGTGTGTGCCCATGGGTGTGTGGGTGTCGTCCTGAGGGTGAGCTCTCTCGGGAGTGGGCAGCAGCTAAGGCTAAACTAGCTTTTTCTTGTGCATCTTCCACCTGCAGTAAGACAGAAAAAGAATCAACCAAACATGTCAAAGTCTGTCAAAGAGGGTCTTTTGCGCTAAATTAAAGAAAAACAGTAAAGAAATCAGAGTACCAACCCCAACATGCAACCTACCTGTAGTTGTTTCACCAGGGGACTTTTCTTCCTCTGGGGCTTGGTGGGTGTGTATAGTCCAATGCTAAATTGACCCACATTAGCATAAGGGTTATCAATAACCCGACCCTTCCTTTTGATTCGCTCAGGTGGAGTAGCAGCAGAAGGACGGGGAATTTCTGTAGGCTCTACAGGTAGATGAGAGGAGTCCTGAAGGATGATCATGGAGCGAGCTTTCTTCTGTCTCTCGATGTGTGTGGCCTGTCGCTGCGCTGCCTCATAAGGCAGGTCCAAGGAGGAGGGCTTGAAGCTTGAGCGTCCCCCAGGCTCATGGCCCTGACTCTGGGTCCTAGATGGGGGAGGAGGAGGGCAGAAGGCTGGGGGAGGACCAGTGTCTAGGTAGTAGGGAGGAGGAGGAGGTGCCATTTGTGGAGGTGGAGGGATAGGATGGGGCTGTGAGTGGTCTCTGAGGCTGTCTGTCATAGAGGAACTGCGGGGAAATCTGTGCTCTCCTGCTAGGGCAGACAGCCGGTCCTCTTCAGTGGCACCTGATGAGGGAGGGGACAGCATAGATCCTCTGGTGACGGGGAGTAAGCTCATTAAAAAGGACCATTTTATACCAGCCTAGCAGGTCCTCAGCTGCTTCTGAAAAATACACTGTAATGCATCCATCTGTAAATCTGTTAACTCACACAGTTAATTATGAATAAGGTGTCTCAAACCAGCCATACAATATTTTAATAAAACATGTAACTAACTATTTTTGACTTATTTAACAATCAATTCAACATTTGTTTGATGAGTGTACTTGAAAACAGGAAAAATGTTAAATAATACAGAGTATTAATAATGTATGTGTATATCTACTTTTCAAATAGAATCTGTACTTGAACATCTGCTCTGCATATCTGTTTCTGTGAATATCCAATAAGCACATTTGCACATTCTGAACTTGTAATACAATGTAAGTACTGTATGTTTTTCTTTAACATTTGTCAAATCTGTCACGAACTTCTCATTTATTTGATGAGGATGCAGCTTCATCCTCACTATTTTCTATTTGCTGTAGGCTACTGCTGTCTAGATGCTATTCTTTGTGGGTGTAGTAATGCGATTTTTAAAAAAAAGAATGGAGCTTTCTTATCTTATATTCTCTACATGTCAATATATTACCTATAAGCATGCTGTACATAAGATACACTATCATTCACCTGATTTGAATATGTACAGGATGGGTGATTGTTTTACCAAAAGACTTGGTCCTGGACATCCCCTTTGGTAGTGGTATGTGACCTCTCTCAATGCCTGGGTGAAGACCTCCATGTAGAGTCATCCCTTGTCTCTCAAACAGTGACTGCAGCACAACAAAACAGAAAGAAGTTTTAATGCCTTCAAAGCTCAACAACAACAAACAAAATCTAAAAATAATTATGCAGTAGTGTAGTGCATGCGTATTTGCGTACGTGTGTAGTGTTGCGTAGTGCTGTGTTGCCCAGGTGAGTATGATATTTGTCAGACTGAGTGTGAATATATACCATCATGGCAGCATATGTTGTCTGCCAGTGTGTCGTGTGTAGGTGCACTCACACTGATCTCTGCTGGTGTTATTCTCCTGCTGGTGGGCCGTTGTTTGACAGTGGCTGCTCTGTAATCTGCCTCCGAGGGCTGAGAACGCAGTATAGACTCCTGGGATGCCAACATCTCATCTAGCCTCTCTGTTGAGAAGGAAATGAGCCAGAACTAAATACTGAGACATAAGACCAGGGAAACGTTGTGTCATCATTTATGACATAGCCAACAGAGAATACAAACTGTGGTTAAAAAGACATCTCCAACATGTAGCTATCCTGTACAATGTGAGGTCATGCTCTATGGTAGTGTATAAAATGACTGCACTATCTCAATACAAGTTCACTGTGTTTCCTTGATGACCGCTAGGGAGTGAGCACTAAGAGTTGAAAGAGACAGAGAGAGACAAAAAAAGAGAAAAAGCGGAGAGTGTCCACAAAATGCAAGTGTTCTGCTCTTCTGATCTAAATCAACACTGCTTAAATTTACACAGCAGTGATAAATCATCTTAATGACATTCAGAGAGGTGTCAATTTCTTGCCTCAGACTCACCTCCTCTTCTCCTCCGAGCAGAAGCTTGGTGGGAAAAAGATTGCGTCAGCAGAGGAGGGAAAATGACAAGAACAAGCCAACAGAAGTGACTATTCTAAAAGTTAGGAAACACACCAAGTTTTAATGACAAAGGGAAAGCAGAAATGTGACAGAAAGAGAAGAAGAGAGTATGGAGTTTGCATGTCAGCTCCCTGGCACTCACCCAGTTCTTCCAGCTCAGCGGTCATGGACTTGGAGCGCAGTGTCAGGGTGGTGCTGGGAGCTCTCTTTGGTGGCGGGGGAGCTGTGGAGAAAAGGCATGGTGTTGAGGATGAAGTTGAGGGGGAGGAAAATCCTTTGGCTTTGCGGCTCAGTGCTCTCCTGGCGTCCCCCAGACGGCCAGTCCATCCCGTCTTCACTGCTTTGATTTGGTCAAATTCAGTCGAACCAGACGCCTCGTGCTTAGTCAGGACCTTGTTCAGGCTACGGTTTGTGCTCAACTTCTTCATGATTTGTTCTTTGTTGGTCCAATGGCTAGTAAATTTATCAGACTTTCTTTCAGTTTTTTAGTCTTTGTGCTGCAAGAATTCCTCTCTGTTGAGGAGCCCAGAGGCAGTAAATGTGCAGCTCAGTCCTCTTTGTAACATCCCTAAATCTCTGAATCTTCCCATTACACACAGAACAACCGATTTTTTCTACCACAATAGGCAGAATGAGTAAAATGAGTGTGGCAAGGAGAGGGAGAAAGTCATCCATCTTACTTTTAATATGCTGTCCGTCTGGAATTTAGCAGGTGTGCATCAGACAGAATTGCACAGACACACCACCTTACACACACATGCATATCCTGCCACATGTGGGACCACACGCAAATACACAGACAAAACTCCACGAGGGAGGACATAATGACATGTGGGCTGACAGACGAAGAGATGACAGTAAATTCAACAGCTAATGAAAATTATGTTCTACAGACTTTACACCCCAAAGCCCATGGGAGCCTCCCAATCCTTCTATACACACAAGACAACTGGACTGTTATCGTCCCACTCAGAACAGGGAAACACATCTACCAAATGTGAGTTCCAAATGCCAAATACAGAGTTACAACCTTTCAATAAAGGGCTTCAAATCAGGTTACACTTAACATTGTAATTAACCACATAAAAAAAAATTGTGATCATGTAAGTTAAGTCTGCAGTAACAACGTAATGCCATGCAGTCAGAGAGATCATAAAACCAAAGCAGTCCCTACATGCTAAAACAAAGTTTCCTAACAATACCCGCACAACGCAACTAGATCAGCTCACTTTATCTGAAATCGACCAGCTAACATTGCATTAACTCACTGCACCACTGCAGAGAGAAAGATCTCTAAATCCCACAGATGTCCTAGTGCCTTACTAAAGCCTAACCATCCTGCTGTCGTCAGCGGCTGCAGATCTAGTGTACATACGCCATCCTGGGTACAGTCCATATCAAACATCTTCATTTCCTCACCAGTCTGCACATTCTGGTACAGTAGCAGGGAGCGGAGGAGATGGAGAAAGAGAGAGGAACAGAGACAGAGTCGGAGGGAGAGAGAGATGCTTTTGCTGTAATGTAATGCTTAATTCAAACATGCAGTGTAGTCACCATGGCAACGGTGGCAGTAGTGAGGCCTCGCATGGTGCAGAGAATGTGTGTGTTTGCTTGGAAGTCTCTCTGTGGGAGTGTGTGTGTGTGTGTGTGTGTGTGCGAGCGTGTGTCTGTGCATTTGTGCAAAGGTGCGGCACAACATGCAGAGTCCCACTGGAGGAGCAGTGCGGCAGAAGAAGGGGTTCAACACAGCTCGGGATGGGGAAAAAAAAGACATTTAGGACAGGTTTGAAACAGAAGTGAGCAATCACGTTCTCCCTCATCTCTGAAACACAAAACACACTCCATCTTGTCTGCAGCTGTGTGCACTGTCTGTATCTCAGCACTTGAATCTCTCTACCCATCTTTTCTGCGATTCGCACTAAACGAATCTTACCAACCACTGCCATTTCTACCGCACTCCATCTACCACCTACCAAATATCTGTCTCAGCAGCTTAGACACACGCAGAGATAAGTGTAAAATGTATTGTGTAAATGGAATTGTTCGACATTTTGGGAATTGCGCTTATTTGCTTTCTTGCTGAGAGTTAGATGAGAAGATAAATACCACTGTCGTATATCTGTCAGTTAGATATGTGGCTAGAGCCAGCAGCCAGTTAGCTAAGTGTAGCATTAAAGACTGGCAGTAACAGTTAGCCAGGCTATGTCAAAAGGGAACAAAATCCACCTACCAGCACCTCTAAAACTCATCAACTAACATATTTTTATTTGTTTAATAAATACCAAAACCAAAGGTGTAAAAACCGACAATTCTCCCTTAAACAGAGGCTTGCGTGGCGGACATTTTCTTGGTCGGAACCAGTAATCGAGAGTGGACCTGGAGTATTTGCTGGTTGCCTGGCAACTGCTCATATCCAAGAAAGAAAGTAAACCCTGTACGTAAAATTGAATTTGTCATTTTTAACCACCTGATATTGTATGGCCTAAACAAACGGGATATAACTTAAGCTTTAGAGGTGTCGGTAGGCTGATTTTTGACGGAGCCAGGCTAACTTGTTTGCAGTATTTATGCTAAACTAAGCTAACTAGCAGCTGACTATAGCTTAATATTTAATTGACAAAAATTAGAGGCATTGATCTTCTCATTTAACAAGCTTTAAAGTGAATAAGTGTATTTGCCAAAATGTCAAACTTTTGCTTTAATTAAATTAAACAGCAAAGTCAATGAGCTGAGGAAGACTATAACATCCAGCATTGAACCCAGGGTGAACACCCAAAGGCATAAAAAGGTAGCACGCACAGATTTGCAGGAAAAAAAAAAGTTGATAAATCTCAACTGCATCAATTTATTTTGGCCATGTCAGAAAAATATGGTAACGTTTCAGCTTCATGGCTTTTCATCAGAGCAAGGAGGAAAATGGTAGTCAAGCCTTTTATATACAGGAATTAGCAGGTTGGCTTAAAGGGTCACATGATAATTTACTTCCTATTTCTGATCAGTAACTTCACAATTCTAACTGAGGTTACTGACTGAAGGCATTCTATGTTTCCATATTTGTAAACTTGTTTAAAGGAAACATTTAAAACTTAAGTCATCATTCAGTCCAGCAGATATCACTGTGTTGCATGTTGAAATCCCCTCTGGCACTGGTACTTAAGACTTTGGTTTAGCACTACAAACAAAATACTGGGCAGGCGCACCCTCCCTAAGATCTAACTACTGAAGAACATGTGGTCCAAAGCTTCACAAAAAGGTACTGGGCCATTCAGCTGAGATGTCTTTTTGCATTAGCCAAGGAGACAAGCAAAGGGAAAGATACAGATAGAGTAGATATAAAGATAAAAAGATGAAAAGATATAAAGACAACAGGGGGGAGGGAGATAGACGGACAGACAGAAAGAAAGAGAGAGACAAGAAACAAAGAGGGACAGGGATTAAGAGAGACCATAAGGCCCTGAGTAGCAGGATTTAGTTGATACAGTACTGTCTCAATGAAACTGGGTCAAACCCATTTATCACTGTCTCTGTATCTCAATAATTGCAAAGGAGGTGCACCAAACACACCACTCTACCACACACACGCATGCGCTTACACACACACACACACACACACACACACTATTGCAGTGTACACAGTCCTGAGGTCATATTACCAGGACTGTGTGGGAGCTGAGTAAGCTGAGTAACGGCGAGCTTTGGTTGACATGGAAACCACATGAATCTACAGCAGAAACATGGTAGAAATCACCTTGCTAATGGAAAATGAGCAAAAGTCCTCTGTACATAAAGCCAACCATACCTCATTGGCAAATAACTGAGACATCCTATGAGAAATGACATGTGCATCCTTGAGCACACAATAGACCATAAGCCATCTATATTTAATTAATGGAACAGGTTTATTTACATTATTGTGCATACTAATGAATAAGTTTCATAGTAGCTGAACTAGTCCATAACATAGTATAGGTAGGCAAATGGGTTTTGTGTTGAATTACATTATAAATATTAAAGTTGTTACATGTAAAATGTAATATTTCACATGTGAGAATATGTTTTTTTCTTATTTAAAAGAAAGAGTTTATCCAATTTCTCTGGTCTTTACCTTTCTTGCGAACGACCTCCTCAGACTCAGGTTTGCGTGCGACAGACACCACCTTCATCAGCAGCCTGTTGCCCCCTTGCCGGATCAAGGACACCACTTGCTTATGTCCCACCTTCACCACATTCACCCCATTCACCTTAAGAGAAAACACACATAAAGACAGAATGAGACACGTCAACATAACTGCAACCTTGTTTGGTTTTGGTTTTTACAATGCTGCTGACATTAAAGCACCAAAGTAACTACAATCTGGTCAATCAGGATGGGATACTTCACATGATCAAACCTCAATAATAATCATGACTATTCTTTATCCAGCAGTATCTCGATGATTAAAAAAACACAGAAGCTTCAACTGCAAGTATTTAGATTTCTAATAACTCTTGCAGGCAAAGGAAGAACTATGCATATCCACAAATGCACCATATGGCTGGGCAGACTCCTGCAGTTGTTAGCCTTCTCTGTTCACCAATGTGCTCAGTAATGAGATGGATACACATGAAGAAGAAGCAAAGGAAGTGCTGTCCTTAATTACCTCAATAAGGAAGTCTCCTGTCCTCAGACCAGCCCTCCAGGCCACTCCCTCCACATCCACAGACTCCAGATACTGAAGGGCAGGGAATGCTGGGGTAGGGGTGAACTCTTCAATGGGCGTCTCGGCTAGGGGAAACACACAGAGAAAACCCACCCAGAACAGTTGAGTGAAATCTTTAGCTTCTTTTGATTAATTTTTTGCTTTTCTAGTAAATACGATCAACAATGAACACAATAAGATCACAAACAGAGAGTGTATTACATGCTGCAAAGAATATTTGTAGTGTGTGTAATACTAGTAGCCTTTAGTGAACGCACTGCAGTTGCCTGCTGCACCTTAACAATATTATTGATGCATATAGTCGCATACAATCACATGCTCACACTTGTGCAACTTCATGCATATATCAGCAAAACAGAAACGCACACACACACATACAGTACACAAGCACAATTTAAGAGAGTGTGCTACCACAAACTCAATTTAATCTTGGAACAAATCCAACTAAACCACTGACATGAGACTTCTCAGAGGACCACTAAGTGTACTGCAGTGTGTGTGTGTGTGTGTGTGTGTGTGTGGGAGTGTTTAAGGGTACTGGGGAGTAAAAGACAGAGTGAGTAAAAGAGAGCAGGGTGGGCCAAGATCCATGGTAGTGAGTGATGGAGCAGTAAAGCACATTCAGACTCTCTCGGCAAGGTGCCTGAGAGGGGTTGCCATGGTAACCAGCCCGAGCAGGGAGAGCTGGCACGTGCATGAGTAAAATGAATTTGTGGCGATGGAGATGAGTAGAGAGGAGATTTTGGTTAAAAATGCGGAAGGTATGAAAGCGGTGGCGTGAAAACATTTAGAGAGGATAATGGACAGGAAGGATATGAAGGAGGTGGAGGAGAGCTGAGAGGAACAAAAACAAGGACAGACAGAGCAAAGATAAGAGAAAGAGAGGGGGGAGAGAGAGGAGTGTGTCTCTACTAAAGCTGAACGCCATGTGTGGGGAACAGATGGGACAGCTAGCCGACAGCTCAGCCAAGGATGACGCCACCAAAGGGGCTACACAAACACACATGCGCGCGCACACACACACGCACACACACAGGAGCCTGAGTGCATCTGAGTATACAAGCTGAGTGTTGACCAAAGCTGGTTGTGTTGTTGACTCACACAGTAACAATACCGACTGAGCCGTACTTCGTGACTCAGAACAACAAACTGCTTCTCACATCAAAACTCTTACACGTTAAAAACAAGTGTGTAGTGAATGTGAATGTGTGTGGCAAAGGTGTGTGTGTGTTTGTATCTCACCTTTGGCTCCCCGCAGGACAAAGCCAAACCCCTCATTTTCTTTCTTCTGTAAAACAGCATTTTTCTCCTCTATGATATAGTCACTGTGAAGGAGAGAGCAAAGGGAGAGTAGGTATGAATCCAACACCATCCTTTCACACACAAAGAGAGAGAGGGGCGAGAGGGAGGGCAGGAGAGTAAAGAGGGTCGATCGTGGGGGGATTGGAAAGTGGGAGGAGATGGAGGCGCACACACACACACACACACACACACACACACACACACACACCTGCACTGTACTTCCTTTCCTGTTAACCAATCAAGTTAAAAGTGAAGCAAGCAACCACAGCTAAGGATTCCCAGGGTTTATACTAGTATTTGGAGAGACACACACACACACACACACACACACACAGATTGAGCGAGAGTGCGAGAGAGAGTCCTTGTGACTGAAGTATCTTTGGGATAAAACTTAAGAGTGAATCAATCTTCTGGCTGATCCTACAGATGAGACTGCAACTGAGGAGGGTGTGGAGGGATTCTGCTAAAGAAACTGACAGAGACGACTCGGATGTAATATTATCTCCTGATTAATGACACAGAGAAAAGGAGGCAAAAGTAAGTGAACAGTTCATCACTCTCTGATTTTCCTGAGTGTTGAGGTGTGGTGGAGGCTGTTAGATGGTGTTAACCTGTGCTGCTTTGAACACACTTCAATGTATTTTTTTCAAGCCACACATCTGTATCCAAAGCCTGTGAGCCAAAAGCAAAGCAGAGTTAGTAAAGCAGTATTAAGCAGCAAAGCGAACATGAGTATGGATGGCTGGATGTCTGTGCAAGCAAATATTCACACCACCTGTCCTTATCAAAATGACCCTCAGGTAAGAGGTAAGTATGAGTTATAATGGTTTTAGTCTAAATTTATGATGGTGATAGATGGGTATTAAAGGAAGTGGGTAAACTAAAAGGCACATTTCTAATGCAGAGCAGTAAAAGTTATTTTAAATGTAAAATATTGAAACTATATTTTAAGACTATAACCTTTATTCCTATATTATAGCTTAAACTTGAAAAAGCCATGAGTTTTATAGTATTTGATGATTTTCTGCATTATCAGAATCATCACGGCTGAGGCAGATGTAAAGGCAGGTGCTCAGGTTGCAACTCAGTAGGCGGCTACAGTCTCCATTAGCTTAGTTACACTTCACTCCTTTAGACTTACCAAGGGAACACAGAGCCCCTGCTGCTGGAGCCAGGAGACCCGTAACAAACCTTTCTGCAGGAGGGAGGTCAAAGGTTTGGTTTCATAAAAGGCTATCTATCCACTTTTGCACCAATTATTATGCACAAAAACTGTGTTGGTTAAGCATCACTAAGATGCTGTCTCAGTCCAAACCCTTTTATCCACTACGCTTTCATCTCTGCTCTATGCCCCAAAATACTGCATAAATGCAATGTGTTCACTGTCCTTGTTCAGAAACTCTATCCGCCTACATTACTGATAAAAAAAATTCAGCTGTAAGACTCAATTGAAAATGGTAAATATTTCCTTGAAATAAACCTGTCCTTTGACATTTATGATTCTAATATCCCTCACAATATAGTTCTAAGAAATTGTACAACGTAACTGGGTAACTGGTGTTTTATTCAAAACGTTTTGTTGCATCGGCTCCTTAAAACTTAAGTCTCACAGCTGTAACGTGGTGGGATTTCATGCAGTGTTCATTTTTACTGTCGCACCTGTAACGTAAGTGACTAATATATATATATATAGACTTGCACTGTGTCTTAAACTGACACACTGTGGAATTAAAGTGTGAATTTGCACAATAACAAAATCGCATATAGCTTGCTACTCTACTCTCAGCTAACAAATCTGACTTAGAAGAGAGGGAGCATTCTCTACACAATTAATGTGCGCTTGAGACAGGCAAGGGAAAAAGAAAAGACAGACCAAGAGTCAGAAAACAAAACATTAAACAGCTTATATAGGAACATCCTGGAAGCAAATCAAGAAAACATGAAGCACAGTACTATGCATGTGCCTGCATGCATGCATGTAGAGTATATATCATGCATGTGTATGTAAAGTGCACCCACACATACAGACAAAAAACAAACTGTTAAACACAGTTATGCAACACAATTTCATTTTAAAGTTAGAACTGAGTGCACTAGCAGTCCTATGCCTTTAGATGGCACCAGCTCCATAGCACTGCAACACCTTCTCTCATGGACTTTATTACCCCTGTTCAGGTAAGAAAGGAGTCTGTGATATCACTGTTATAGTTCATGAAGTACAGTATACAGTAATACACCTTGCAGTAGCATGCTAGCTATGAGAAAGATGCCGTACCTGTATGAGGTGAAGTTGTCGTAAGATCCCACAGTGTAGTGTCTGAACAGTCTCTTTGTGCGGTCTTCCCGAGTTTCTGTAAAACACATTAAATGCATCTAATTAGAGAATCCAGTACATTCAAGTTCTGCATTAATATTCCCCCATTATATTGCAAGCTGACACCAAGGGCTACAAACATCTTGAAAGGCCAAAATGAAAATACATAAATGTTTTCACAATAGGTTGACATACTGTATTTAAATCGACTCATCTGGTGTTTTTTTTGTATGTATTGTACACCTGATTATGGTATTAAGTAAAGTTTGAATTTCGATTTAAAAGAGAAGATATATAAACTGTGAAAAAACAAACCACTCCTCGTTTTTGATTTACATAAAACAAGGCCTTATGCACATAGAATATTTAATAGTAATACCATCAAATTTTGGCAAAATTATTGTTATGATTGCATATCAGAGGCACTCTTGCAATTACCCATACATCATCCAAGGCTTAAATTGCTAGTGCTGTGTCTTGGAAGCAAGGTCAGCCACATTTGCCAGCATGTGCAGCATTTTGTCACAGAATTGAGTAAATGAGCTGAATCCAGAAGCTTCCTAGGAATGCACTGTTCAAAAATCATCTAGGAAGGACACAGTTTATTATTTGATTTTTTGTATCAAAAAATGTAAAGGCTGTTTCCACCCCAGCTCCTAGCTTTCAGTTAGCACAGAGAGGAATTAAGCTACCACAGAGAGGTAATCATCATTAACATTCGTCATTTATTATAACCCACTGTACCAGAGTATAAATGTGACATAGCAATTTTTTATTTATGAAATAGTTAAACAATTGCATAATTCTGTGTTTCTTTTAAAGCCAGAAAATGCACTAGAATAGGAACCATGTTAAGCTCAATTAATATAGTGCGTGTGTATGCTGTCAGCATGTAGGTGGATTTATCCAATGGGAGTGCTGATAGAGATCGATGCCCTCTCCCCATCCCAATAATACACACTGCACCTTCACTAAACAGCAATCTGCTGACTTCACACCACAGGACGCTTTCAGGCCACACAGAAACTCCTAATTGGGCAAAGCTGTGAGAGTGAGGGGCGTCCCGGTGGTGATGTGAGACACATGGCATGAAGCCACGAGCCTAGCTTGTAATCTTGGTCCCCCGCTTCTTTCCTGTCATTTTTTACTGTCTGTTATCTAATAAAGGCAATACATCAAGCCATTTGAGATATCCTGTATGTGTGTGTATGTGAAAGAAAGAGACATGTAAAGAGGAAAAAAGGAAAAGAGATCAAAGTAAGTGAGCATATTTGAAGTGGCTGGCATCCTCAGATCCACTTTAGCCTGTCCATCTAACTGTGTGTGTATGAGTGACAGTCTGTCAGCTGTGAACAACTTGAAGCTCTGATAACTGCATCCACTGACACTTGGTGACACACCAGAAGGGCAAAAAAGAAAAAAATAACAATAAAAAAAAAAGAATCTAGCAGTCCCCTCCAAATTCTCGATTTTGATGTTTCACTCTGAACCTTCGTCCTCTGCTCTTCCTCTCTCATCTCATCTTGTATTCTTCATCTGCCTTTCTTTTCTAATCTTGTTTGTCTGTGTGGTGGTCATCAGGTGGTCTTCATTCTCCAAGAGCACTGCTCTGTGAATCTCAATCTCTCTGGTTCTTACACATTCATTTGTTTCAGCATGATTGCAAATGTGTAGCTTTTCTCTTCCCTCACTACACATGTCCGACTCACAGGAAGGAGGCCGTTTTAATGAAAGAACGAACAAAACCAAGCTCTGCCTATTTGATAACAAGGCCCATCTTCTCCCAGAGCAAGAACCTCAGTCAATTGGTCAGTGAGTCACCTCCTGGTCACTGGTTGCGATCATGTGTATTTGACTTGTGGCTTAGTTGAAAGGGAAATTCTCCTACAGTTGGTGATTCAATTTTAAGTCATTCAATGTATTTTCATGTAATTTCCATGAATTATCAGCCACAAACAGACAGGCAAGTCAACCACAAATGGCTATTTGGAATTGATTGTCAACATTAAGTTTTGGGCTCAGTCCATCAGGAGAAGGAAGCATGTGAGTCTTTGAGGTCCTAATTTTGCTGCAGCGTTCAATAATACAAGGAAAAATTCAGCTTGAAAAAAATCAAAGATTTCTCACAAGTTTTTCCAATAGCAGAAAATACATACAAGGGACACGTGTCATATATTTTCTATTTTGAAACATCTCTCGCTGTCTTGCTTTTACTATGAAATCAATTACTGCTCTCTCCACCTACACAAATAGCCTGACTGAAGGCAACAAGTTCATGTCTGTTCTCTGAGGGTGGACGAAAGTAATTCTGGGAAACATATCAGAGGAAATTTCAAACTCTACTAAACTTTATATTGCTGGAATTAAAACCTTTAGTGGTGGATCTGAATTGTATTTTAGGAAATCCCTGTGGAGACACATTCCCCCTTCAAGTGGATGAGGGTGTAGTTGAGAACACGTACGCAGGGGGCATCTTCCACCCGGCACACACTTCTCTACACTAGTTTTATAGGTGTCTTGGCAAACCACTGAGGTAATGATGTTATGGTAACATTGTAAGCAGCAGATAAATGTTGTCACCGCCCACTCCTTCCAATCAGACCCTCTTTGTTTAGCTTTCTATGATACCAAAAGGAAGCCAAGTGAATTGTTTGCTCTGACATCTCATAACCTGGATGACTAAGACAACTGTATACAGACACGAAATATGGAAAAGCACAAACTAAAATAGAAGTCGAAAAGGCAGGTTGAGGTAAAGCAGTCACATGAAAATAAAGTGTAACATTTCCTTACAAAAACATTTAAGGAAATTTAATTGCAGATTAATCAAGTGTGTGAGCATCGAAGAATGAGATGCGTAATTAAGAATGAATGAGTGTTTTTGTGAGGTTATCGGTTTTCAGAGGAGGCAATGGGGGGAAAAAAAGGTGAGGGGAGACTGGTTGGAACTTTGTCTGCATTAGAAGGTTACTCTACACCCACTCTTGCGAGGAAAGACGTGGCATTTTGTTAGCACTGGTTGTTAAAGAGAAGTAGTTATGAAAAAAATGGTGATATATGGGGGAGAAAGTTGTAGATGAGTCAGCACTTGTCTTCTCCTGCACATTTACAGTCTGTCTTTTACAGCACATGCTCATTGTGGATGTGCAAAGTGACAATATTTAGTGTGTCTGAATGGTATATAAATTTGTGTATGTACACTACGTGTGTGTGTGTCTGTGTCCATATAGTGTGATACCAGATGCAGTGTAAGAGTGTGAAATGTAGCTCATTCATCACAGCTGTCATCTATTTTGTAGAGCCCAGGAGCATCTAAAGGCAGAGCCCTGACAGTACAGATAACCTAAACTCCACTTCCATCTATCACACACACACACACAGACAGGGAACGAGAGACATGAAAGGGGATCCAATGAGCATTCAGGCTGTTTCTTAAGTTAATGCACATTAGGAGGGTTTATTATTTTGTTTTGTTTTGATAAATTTTGGAATATCGGAAAAGCATCTCTCAATCTGCACCACAGGGTTACAACATCTGGGAGTCAGAGGGGCAGCTAAGTGCAATGAGATTCCAGAGAAAAACAAAACATTATGAAAACGCGGGATGTTGATCATGAAATGTTTGTTATACAGTCATGTTGAAATAAAACATATCAAACAATTACTACCTAATCGAAAGTGGCATTGGTTGGTTTTTACACATGCTGTTGCTCTTTGGAGATATTGTTTATAGCCACATGAAACATTCAGTTCCTGTTCTCTTTCAAACCAATACCACACAATGTTCAAAGAGCTCCAGTTTTTAGCAGAAGAACAAAAACACAAATAAAGAAATAGTAAAAAAAGAAAAAGCTTTTCCAACTATAAATAAAACAACATTCATTCTTCAGTGTTGGTAGCCAGCCTAATACAAAAAAAAAAGCTGTTACAGAAATTGTGCCCCTGGCTAGGCAGCTTCTTTGTGAATAGGTGGCTAAGTTAAGCTTTAATTTAAGCACTTTTGACATAAAGAGGAACTGTGCGTGAAAGAAAAAAAAAGCTGTCATGTGGTGGTGGTGGTGGTACTGTAACTGTTAACATGGTTAGCAAAATAAAAATAAAAAATGCTCATGGACCTTTATATTCAGTATTTTATAATCAGTTGTCCCAGTGTTCTAGCACTGCACCTTTCAAAAATCACTTCAATCATCCCAAAAATCGTCAATCATGTGGCCAGTACAGCAACGTTATTTTCCTTGGAAGTTATGAGGTTTAAGTTTCTGATGGTAGTGCTGCAGCTTTAGGTTTTCCCCTTTGTATCATGCACTGTATTTACCAACACCACTGAATTCTCACTAACTTCCAGAGATAAATGCTCCACATCTGTCTGATCTACAGATTTAATGTGGTGTTGATTGAAAGGTTTTGTTATGAGCGATAACTCATCCATAAAAATGTGAGAATACTGTAAGCTGTTTGTCTGTTCTCGCCGGTGATAGCTGTGAACAGTGTTAAAGTCAAGATAAAAGCATATTTAGCACATTAAGCTATATGTCATGCTGCAACATCTCTGCTCTTTTTGCCTGCTACGTCACTGAGAGTTCCTGCGGTAAATTTTCCTGTCTTAGCCCACAGTGCTTCTCCATTCTGGACAGACTGTAACATCTTCCCTGTCCTTGTCTGAAGGACGCAAGAGGCACGTCACATACACACAGATGCACGGAAACACAAAACAATACAGATACACACACCATCTCTGAACCTTGCTGAATGAGAATTAACCTATGCTGCTTTACCACTGATAAGAGCTGCAGACAAACATGCGCACACACTTACACAAACACTTATCAAGTGAGCCTCATTGACTTTTTAATTCTTTTCTTCCACATCCCCATTCACCCTTCCTTTCCCTTTCTCCCTCACTCTCTCTCTGCCTACTCATTCATGTTGTGCATGTTAACCTTCTAAACCAGGTGGATAGAAGACTAAGCAGGGGGCATAGTAAACTCCCAGGGCTCCCTACACCTTGAATACTAAAACACTGTTTAAATTAATCAG